AATTGAAATTTTATCAACCACTCGTACTTCCAAACAGAAATGTGTCCGACCAACAAAGAATTGGTCATTTTGTGAAAATGATGTGTCAGATGAAGCAAAATAATTATCAAAAAACATCTCATTCAAGGACAATCGCAAACAAGAGAAAATATATACAGAAATGTCAAAAAATTGGAAGAGTTATACAACATGATCGATCAAGGTTCAGCACCCAAACATATACAGGGTGTTTCATAATTGAATGTCAATATTCGAGGAGGCGATTCTTGGACCCATTCTGAGAAGAAAGTTTCATATGAACGTGCATTTTGGTGAACACTAAGTTCAGTTATATTTTTTTTGTTAGTTTTGTATCTTTATAAATACTGCCAATGTCATTTCCCCCTTTTAGATTTTTTTTTTCAAATGTCATGATTTTGAGTAACTTGGGACCCCATGATTTTAGTTCTTTCTGTTCTCCTCTAAATAATTCTATGAACAAAAAATGATTACTCAAGATGTGTGCTGGTATTATTTTCATTTTTCTGCTGTGCCAAGTAAACTGTGAATAGTTTTACATGAATTTTCAGTGTAAAACCATACAGTACAGTCCCATTAAACCCCAATACTTGGGACAGTGAATTATTTTTTTTACAAATATTCTTACATTAGGAGCTATTTTTGGTGCTTTATAGGTTGAATGCATATGAAAGAAATTTTGTTTTGCGTTACCACATTATTGAAAAAATTAAAGTGAATTTGTCCCAGGTAACCCTATTTCACGGTAATTCCTTGACATTATAGGAAACTTGGCAGCCGTTCAATTTTCTGTAGATACTTTCACAGGAGAAGTTATTCAGAAATCTCACTTCATCACTAGCAGTACCAACCAGAAGAACACCAGCTGTTTGGCCCATTCATGCAGAAAATTATCTGATCTTCAACCTCGGGATGTCGGTCACCAACAACTCTTTATTAAAAGTCTTTTGTCTATAAAACGACAAAGCTTTGGAATTTTCGCCGAAGGAAGTATTCCATGCAGGAAATATGTTTGTGTAAAAGTTGAGAACGCTTCGTGTTTCTGGGTTTTATTTATTCATCCATTATATAAACCTATAATAAAAATGGACTAAAAGAAAAGTGAAGTTTGTTCCTCTGGTATATTTCAGGACCAGATTATATTTTAGTTATGACGAACTCACATAACGAAAAAATAAAAAAAAATGAGACAATCTTCAAACTTTTTAGCTTACAATGGTTCACATATTATTATGTCTATAATGATCATTCAATGATTCACATCATACATTCAATTTATTTTATAGGTATCAACTGATAGAGGGTAATTAAAAATATTTTCGCAAGGGTCAAATCGATGGTCTTGGGAATCTGATCTATCTAGCTTCTTGGGTCAAGTTGTTGATATAAACTGTGATGATGAATAATGAAGTGAATCACCAAGAATCCATGATAAGATAAGCCCAGAAGTAACTTTTCCTAAATAAACATCAGTGTCCTCCGCAATCTTGGTGATAGATTTTATAATTGTCCGATGATTCAAAAATACCTACGAAGGTATTTCACGGCAAATAGGAGAAATAAATGACTAAAAAAACGCATAAAGTAGAAGACAAAAGATCGAAATTAAAGTGACATATACAAATTCATCATACCTATGCTCTATATTATGTGGTGGAAAAACGAACGACTGATCGAATAAAATAGATTTTTCTGGTACGGGAAAAAAGTTCGGCATCTCAACTCTGTTGGCAGGTTATAAAATGTCACTTTTCATAAATTACTTTTTTCCCGGATATATATCACATAGAACTGTTGATGGCTCTTGTTGTGCTATACGCTACGCGTCGGGAGACAATACAACCTGGAGCTAAAATGTACTACTTTTTCCCCTTCATCCCTTGTATAATAAATAACTATTCACATCAGCCCAACTTTTTGTGATTCACATAATCATTTTTATTTTGCCGTCATATCTAATGGTCACGTGACATTAGTTATTTCTGATGGTAATTGCTAATGATTACCAATATTACTATAATATAACAAAACATATATTCTGTGACGGTAAACACGTATGACACTTTATCTCTGTTGAAAGGTTACAAAATATCACTTTTAATAAATTACTTTTCTCAGTACTTGTCGACTAATCTCGTGTGAAATAGCTGTCAGTCATTATTCCGCTGCTATATGGTAATGCTCAACTGCATTTATCAAAACCATTCCTACCGAGATTTTCATATTTACAAGGACAATAACGATGTGATTCTCCCCGGCTTAGTCTGAGAAGTATGTACAAAAACAAATTCCAGGAACCTATATCTAATCCTTCACCTCATTTTTTGGCTCCAATAAGGTGATGAATATGATATGTAGGATAAATTATACAACTGTTATAATCAGATTTCGGTGTATTGACAAGAGTTATTCATAGTAATTCTTACCTCCATTTTCGTTTTACTCGATTGTAAAAAAGTGCATGGTTATTAATCCGACGATTTGGGAAAATACATAGAACGCAGGGAAACAAATTTTCACTTATAATCCCGAAAGTTCAAGAAAAACTCCAACACCTATTTCCTCTCCCTATCCTCCCTAGGTACGCACGATGTTCCAAGAACATTATAGGTATTTCCTTTCGTGCGCTCCAAGAGATGAAAAAAGCGAGAGCTTCAATTCGTGTTCTTGAAAAAATCCGGCTTTTAATTGAAGCCATAGGGGTTGGTAGGTATTCAGTAAGAAAATTCCACACTGAAATATAATTTGAAAGTTACATGAATAAGATTATACGCTAAATAAAATACAAAATACCGATTTTAGTCACGCAAAATACTAATAAGGCAGCTGGTGATAGTTCAAACCATTATTTTTGACAAACTTCATTCCACTAACGTTGGTACAAACATATTTTTCAATTACAAGGGACATAACATAACGTTTTTAGGTTCAATAAAATACAATTAACTCACATTAGTTGCACGAAATATTAAAAAATAAGCAGATAGTAGCTCAATTAATCATTTCAAGTTGGTAGAAATACATTTTCTGTCAAGAAACTCGAATAGGTACCATTTAGTATCCATGAAACTATCAGGCTAGATTGTTACGTTATGCGGGTGCAGAAACGAACACGACACTATTTATTTTCGAACTGATTTATTTTAACCAAAGGAACTCTAATTCATATCGAATCTATAACTTCTATTTATATAAAACACTGACTGTCTCTCTGACACCCGCTGCTTGACTGACTGACGGCAGTTGTCCGGCCGTCCTTATATATGAGATTCCTTGGTGTGCTTTGCTTCTCGAACGTTCTCGAATGATCTTCCGTATTTTTTTTTTGTTCTAGAAGCTTCTTAGAACAATACCTCTCTCTCTAATTGTTCCATCGATTGTTTCCAGAACATTCCAGAATCTTCTGTCACATTGCACACACATGCGACATATATTGAGTGTTCGGAAATAGGCTGATACATGTAGGAATCATTGGGATGTTGGAGAACAATCTGGGATGCGTGTTACATGATGATCGTTGTACTCCTGCCTTCCTGATGATGTTTCTAGAGCCCCTTCAAGCGGAATATCATTACAATATAATTAAACGAATTCAGTTGAATGAAATAATAAAACATGAGTCAATAGTAACTCAATCACTCAGTTTTTTACAAATTCATTTAGCTGAAGTTGGTAGAAATAGAAATATTAACCAATAACAAGAAACTTAATTCGTCGAAAATGTTAGGTTTGAAATTTTCTGGTTCAGCCATCAGAAGATTAAAGCTATTATGCTCTATAACTCCTTAGCTGAATCTATTTTGTCATACTGCATCAAAATAAGAGGTGGTACTTTCAACACCACTCTGAGTATCCTGCAAACAACACAAAATACATTGATAAAAATAATTCTGAAAAGAAACAAAAAATCTTCTACTGACAGGCTATTTCAAGAAACGCAACTATTGAACACCATCAAGTTGATATTTGCTTACCAATGCTTGAAAATAATGTATATACACCGTGACAAGTTCAACAAAACAAGTATTCGGATTATGAGGTCAACTACAAATAAGGATCTAAATATCCAATCTTTCAGAAAAACATTAACACAAAGATCGTTCTTTTTCCTTGGTCCTGAATTGTATAACTTCATTCCAACCGATCTGAAACAAATTTCAAGTATGAAGAAATACAAAGCTGAAACAAAAAACACATTTTTCAACTCACCAACGAAATTTTATGAAATATTAAACTCAATTTGAACTCAGAACAGACTTACAAAAATAAAAACCGACTGATGAAAAAAAAAAACAACTAACAGACAATGAATTACCTTCAGGTGATAGGTGATATGTACCAACCTACCACATACCTGTCATCTGCTCTCCTCTGTATTATTTATTCATCTACTACCGTGTTAGTTTTCGAATTCCAATACTTAGAATTCTAAGAGTTTAATTTTTTTTATTCATTTATTTACAAATTTACTCACTATATATTCCAACACAACACAAAATGCCCGATCATCATGAAAATCCTGAGACCGAGCACAAAGTAAGACAGGCAATCTTGCCTAGGCTTAGATGCAAGATCTAGGATTTTCTTTTTTAATAATATGTGATTTTATAGAACATCATGACATGCACTTCAATTAGAGAAAATAAATTGAATTGAATTGAATCATGACCTATGAAATTTCAATATTGTAGCTACTTATTGCAATTCCCGATAATTGTTTTCAATCCCTTTTCATCTTCAGTCTGCGTTATTTTTGGAAAAAGGATTGTTTGTATACCTTCGTGTTTATTGGTGAATAATTGTTTTAAGTTCAATAATTTACTTGTATTTTAAGCCCCATATGTTGTATATGTTAATATTATTTATTATATTTATAACATATTGCTCTTTTGAGCAAAACATCGACGTGCTGTAATCTTTTGTGTAAAATAGCCAAATAAATCTCTCTATCATGATTCCTAATTATCTCTTTTCGTTCTCAGATGCGACTGATGCAACCTCCAACGAGGACAACAAGGAACCCGACATACTAATAATCAGAGAAATTGACCCGTGCATCGGCCTGAATGGGCCCTTTCATCACACGTCGCGTTACGAACTCATGCAACGCACATTCCAGCCTCAATTGGTCGTGCGAAGAGGTCAAAGTTTCCAGCTGGACATCAAACTGAGTCGGCCCTACGACGAGGAGAGAGACGGGATATCATTCATTTTCACAGTGGAAGGTGAAGCCATACCTTATTATTACATTTTTCTACATAACCACAGTTTAAGGAATGGGTATGATAACATTGAGCGTACGGATATGTACACTGCTGCCCAATAAAATCGTAACGACACTTGGTCTAATTGAAATATTTTTGTCCAAGTACATGTAGGTACTATTCATTGCATAGAAATGAGCTGTCTCCTTGATTAGCATTTTATGACCTGCCTCGCGCTGTAAAGGTGTTATGTATAGGGGTATACCCAGCGGTATACCCTGAGGTGTTATAATTATTCGAACGTGAAAAATAACAATGACATAGTTCTTCCTTGGCAACTACAATGAAATAAATGCTGATGAGAATTAGTTCTTATGTCAAAAATATGAGAACCATCGATTTCAGAGAGAAATATCCATCAAGAACGATTAAGAAGTATGATTTCATGGGAAAAATAATGGGCTTATATCACAAAAAAAAATTATTTCATAATTCGATAGAACTCACCCTAACTAGCTCACCACCGCAAACCGTTTCTTGCTGTGAGCTCCCTACGTTTTATAAAAAATTATTGAAATCCCCGATTTTTCGGACCTCTGATAACGAGGCGATGATGTGACGTCAGAACCCTAATACTGAAACAAGACTATTCTAGACAAATATGAATGATACATGATTTCTGACATAGTGAATTAGCGCGAGATCACAGTTGAAAGAATTAATATATCAGTTGCCTCAGTCTCCGTCGGGCGTTTGGTATTTTCTTTTAACTATGGCGAGATGAGGTTTCTACGTCATAAGAGGGTCCGTTTTCAGAGGCTACTATTTTTTATGTTCAAAAATAAAACATTCCAGTTAATTTTTCGATCGAATTATGTCGTCAATCATTATTTATGTATAAAAGGATCAGTATAAACATGGTTTGAGTTGAAAGTTCTACTGAGGTGTACAAGCCCATTGGAGGATATACTAACGACAAACTCTAATTTGAAGAAAATTCAATTATACCGATACCGCTTTATTCAAGACGTTCTTTATTTATTTCATATATTAACTAGAATCGAACAATGGTTAACGATGATGATAATTGTTCAGTTTCTAGCGATGTGAATATTAACCCAAATCTTAGAAATATTCAGAGATACACCTGACTATCTCGTACCTTAAACCACATAAGAAATAAGTTATTGAGCTATAGTAATAGATATTAGTCCGGGTGCATAAACCGAATTTTCAAAGGTATTTTTGCATAAGTCCTTACCATTTTAATGGGCTCCACTGTACCATCGTCCACCAATATTGGTGGACGATGACTGTACCACGCTAAATGATCGATTACCCAGATCTTGAAATATTCTCACAATATGATACACAAATATGCAATTCCGCCTGTGGCGAAGAATTTGGGAGGGATCAACCAGGTAATTGCCCCTTTCGTACGCCTCTGGTGATAGCTAGAAAAGTTCATTTCACATAATACAGTTGGGTGTATAATACCTACACTTCCTTCCAAATTTAAACGTGATACGTCAAATAGTTTTGAAGAACTGGGCAAAAAACTTTTAAAATTTTTTGAATAAAACACCCTGTAACTCATACAGGAGACATATATTATCTAGGTGATTTGAGTTAAATCTTAATATTTTGAGTTCAGGATTCTATCGTTGAAATATTTCCAATTAGTATTGAAACACCTTGTAGATACAATTATCTACCATCATGAACTATAAACATCATTCTAATGGTATACATAATCGTGTGGTACATGACTTGTTAGAATTCCTTTATCTGTGCATATATGATATATTTGATGAAAAACTAAAATTCATGATTCGAAATATGCCAATGGAAGGATCAAACAAATTTTTGGTGATAATCCTTATTTATTTTTAGATGAAGAAAAACCCAACCATGGAAATGGGACATTAGTAGCAGTGCCACTCTTACAGAAAACTGATAAGTACATGCCGTGGAATGTTACCTTGGAGAAGATAACAGGAAATACGATAACCGTAGAGGTGAATACGGCACCAGACACAGTTGTGGCAAAATGGAGACTCGAAGTTGATACCAGGCTCATCGAAAATGGAGCATACAGTTACTGTTATGAAACAGGTTTGTATTGATATTCCTATGAGAAATTTCATTTGCATACCTCTTCATTATGATGACTGAAAGAAAGGAGAACTTGAAACTAATTACTCGAAGCAAAAGGAGACTTATTGGAAATTAATGAGCAAGAGCTTTTTGCACCTGCACAGCTAAATAATAAGCACTATGTATGTAATGTATGTGATGTATTTCGAAGGTATCTACATTCTCTATAACCCCTGGTGCAAGTCAGACCAGGTCTACATGCGATCAGAAGAGTGGAGGGATGAGTCAGTGCTCAATGATGTTGGGCTAATTTGGAGAGGAACTTACAATAGACTGAGACCAGTAATTTGGAAATATGACCAATTTGACAAGGACATTTTGGAGTGTTCTTTGTATCTAGTGCATGAAGTGGGGAAGGTCAAGAATACTTACCGGTCTGACCCAGTGAAGACAACAAGGTAAAAGCATAAAAAGTACTCTTCTAAATCCTCAGTTTAATTTTTTCGTTTCAATGATAAATATATTTTCTTGTACGTTTTATGATAGAGCTTTGGCAGCAGCTATCAATTCTGCTGACGATTATGGTGCAGTTATGGGAAATTGGTCGGATGATCACAGTGGAGGAACGCCACCGACGAAGTGGTTGGGTACGAAGGAAATTTTGCAAAAATACTACAAGAAGAAGAAACCGGTCAAGTATGGACAATGTTGGGTTTTCTCTGGAGTTTTAACAACAGGTAGAAATAAGTCTAACAATAATTACTCTATGGTCACTACTGAGGTTCCTACGACGTTGTCGCTATACCTCATCCATCACCTGATAATTCAGTCAATTCTTGGTAATATATGGAGTAACATATTGGTAATTTCTACTCAAAAGATTACCAGTAAGTAAAAACTCCCATCAGATCATTTTATGATTTTCTCCATCGTTAAAAAAACTTCATTATGACTGACAATGTGGGAGAGCAGCAAAAGCCCTGGTGACTATACAATGCCGTCAAAAATCTTTTTCGCTGCGTGGTTGGTCTACCTCGAATGGGGTAGCCGAGGCGCAGCTGCGTTTGTCAATTGATCCAGCAAGAAATTGTCGCCAGCACTGTGAGGATCTTCAAGAAGTTGTCCAAGCAGCTGTTAGTTACAGGTGCCCTTTTGAAGCTAAAATTAGTATAATTGTTATTGTTTGCTATGAATTCAACAGCCCAAAAAATGAACTGGAAGGTGATTTTGAGAAAATGAGATGATATTTCAGAGACCCAATTTCAGATTTGGTTCTCAACTTGCTTCGGTTCTGATCAGTCAATGCAGATTGTAGGTGAATCGAATAGATTGGGAGACCTCTTGATCACTGCGGCATAAAAGATTTATTTCGATTACCCTCATCTAATTCTAATGAAGGATTTTCCTGACGGTTGAATTATCCGTCTAAGCAGGTGTCAGATAGACCTGTTTCTAGGTGATTCAGACTTCGGCGGACCGATACATTACATGAGCAGACTATGTGTTCCGCGATATCGACCGCGTTATCGCAAATGCAGCAAGTGTCAGTCTCCGCTAGACCCATCATTTTGAGGTGACACCACAGAGAATAGTGTCTTGTGAGGAAGCCTGTGATAAGCTTCAGGTCTGGTTTGCTGAGGCTGATTAGCTTTTTTGAGCTGGTTTTGCGAATGGTTGATGAACCTATTCGCTTGTCGGTGAGTCAAAGTTGCTTCCCAGTGGAGGACTTCTCGTCCTCTTTTCATTTCCTGAGCTTTGCCAATAGGTGACATTGCAAGGTGATCAGCTGCTCATTCCCTTAGATTCCTTCTAGCACTGGAACCCACAGGATTTTTCTGACGGTTGAATTTTCCATCCCTGCAGGAGTCAGATAGACCTATTCTAGGTAATTCAGCCTTCGGCGGAATGATATATTACATGAGCAAACTATATGTTTCGCGGATTTTGTCCCGTTGTTGCAGAAGCAGCAAGTGTCAGTGTCTGCTTGAACCATCTCTTTGAGGTGAAACCACAGAGAAAGCCTGTGATAAGCTTGAATCATCTTGAACTATGGTTTGCTGAGGCTAAATAGCACTTTTACTCGGATTTGCGAATGCTGGATGAACCTATATCTCTCTATTTTCTGAGCTCTGCCATTAAATGATATCCGCTTGTCCCACATAAAGGCTTAGGACCAGAAATTGCCGACTCTCATGCAACTTTTTTGCAAGGCGATCAGCTGCTCATTCCCTTTGATTCCTTCTGGCACTGGAACCCACAGGATCTTTCTGACGGTTGAGTTTTCCATCTCGGCAGGTGTCAGATAGACCTGTTCTAGGTGATTCAGCCTTTGGCGGAATGATATATTACATGAGCAAACTATATGTTCCGCGGCTGAGTAGCTCTTTGGCTCGGTTTTGTGAATAGTTGATGAACCTATTCGTTTGTCGGTGAGCCGGAGTTGCTTCGGTATCTTTCGATTTCCTGAGCTCTGCCATTAAGTTACATTTGCTTGCCCCATATGTAGACTCAGGACCAAAGATCGCAGACTCTGCACCTTATTTTGCAAGGCAATCAGCGGCTCATTACCTTTGATTTCTTTTTGCCTGAAACCCAACTAAATGTAACTTTGCTGTCAATGTAGATTTATCAACAGTTTTTCAATAGTTTGCCGTGCTCTGGGTATCCCTGCCCGAACCATCACCAACTACTCCTCTGCCCACGACACCCAGAACTCCTTGACCGTCGACTACTTCATGGACGAGAACGGTGCCGTCATGGAGGAGCTCAACTCCGACTCCATCTGGAACTTCCACGTGTGGAATGAGGTGTGGATGGACAGGCCCGACCTCGGAAGCCACTACGGGGGGTGGCAGGCCATTGACGCGACTCCGCAGGAGTTGAGCGACGAGCAGTACCGGTGCGGGCCGGCATCGGTGGCAGCGGTCAAGCAGGGAGAGGTGCTCAGGCCGTACGATAACAGTTTCCTGTTTTCTGAGGTTAATGCTGATAAGGTGAGGAATGACTGGTATACGAGATGTTTGGTTCACCGACGTATATCTGACAACATTTCAAACATATTCAATCATATATCTTGTGTCCCAAATTTGACTCTCACCATTGGGATCTTGGTAACTGTAAGAGATAGAGAGTCGATTGGATAAGAAAAGTTTCAGCAAATTCCATTCAGAATCTTGACTAGCTTCAGAGTTGAGTTATTCTCCTTGTTTTCTCTGTTTCTTCAACGTCGCGGCATTTTTCTGCTACTGAGGCTAATCACCAACGCCGGTGAGCACATCCTCTGGTGCTCCAACGATCTTTAACGATCTTTAACGGGTCCAACATCCATGGCCTCAGGACCGCCGGCTTAACGTCCCCTTCGAAGGACGACATATCCTCACCATATCTTGTGCTCATTGAATTGGTAGCTGTAGCTATGATATGCTATTTGGCTACAGATATGCGGGCCTATGCGGCGTTTCTTTGAATGGTACGAACCGCGTTCGACACTGCTTCACATCAGATATCGAAAGGCTAGTATTGTATTAAAGTCGTTTATTTTCTTCTCAATCTTACAAAGGCAACACATATTTCATCCACATTTTATGTTTTATATGTACCTATACGTCCCTCCCCGTAGCGCAGAGGTGGCTGGTGTTGGTCAGAAAACAACAAACCTCCTTCTTGAACGGCTAGTACCTTACCTGAGAAGCTAGGGCAATGCTCAAAATATCGTTTTTTTTTAGATTGTTTGAAATGACTGCTATTCAAGATATAAGCTGAAATTTTGTATTTTCCGTTTTTCACTATCAGAATGTTGAAGTCAATAATTTTCGAGATATTCGAGAAGAACAAGAACACTAAACAGTTTTTCTTGAATAACTCAAAAATGACTGAGGCTAGTCTATATTTCTTAACGGATTCTGAATCAAGATTGAATTTGCTGGGACTTTCGTGATTCAACCGACTCTCTTTCTCTCATAGTTCCCAGAGGTGAGGATCCCAATGGTGAGGATCGAATTTGGGACACACTGCATCGAGATATCGTTTTCTCAATAATTTAATATGATCGATTCTGTTTTTTTAAGGATATTGATAACATATTTCATCGATATTGAACAAGAAATGGGATCGAAATGTGATAAAAAATGTCCATTCGTTAAATCTATCAAAAGCTACTAATTTTCACTTGTATTTTCCGTTGTAGATATTTTGGAGATACTCCGGTCCAACTCAGCCGCTTAAACTCCTTCGCAAAGATATCTACGGCATCGGAAAACTAGTTTGTACTAAATCGCCAGGAACTTTCGACCGAGAAGACATTACCCACAACTACAAGTACAAAGAAAAAACAACAGAAGAGCGCACCACCATGTTACGAGCATTGAAACAATCGCAAAGTCTATTTTCCAGATATTACCTCAACGAAGACTTCAACGATATACACTTTGATTTCAAACTAATTGATGATATAAAAATTGGACAACCGTTCAACGTGTCTCTAGAGATGAAGAATAAGAGTAAGAGTAAGGAATATAATGTTTCTGTGGTGGTGAGAATTGAGGTTGTTACGTACACAGGAAAAGTTGGCGACAATGTGAAGAAAGAACAATTTTCTGTGACTGTGAAACCTGATTCCATCCATGAGGTTAAGCTTGGAGTATCGTATGAGGAATACGGTAGCAGACTCATCGACCAATGTGCATTTGAAGTGTCTTGCCTTGCTACAATAGAGGATACAAACTTTGAATACTTCGCCCAGGATGATTTCAGAATAAGAAAACCGGATATCAAAATATCACTTCGCAATACTCCGATTGAAGATACTGAGGTGATTGCAGATATTTCTGTGGAAAATCCACTACCAATACCGCTGAAAAAGGGTGTTTTTACTGTTGAGGGCCCAGGGATTGATGGTGGCTTGAAGGTTAAAGTGAAAGAGTCTGTACCACCTGGTGCTCATGCCAAAGGGGAGTTCAAGTTCACTCCTCCACGTACAGGGAGGCATACCATTGCTGCAAAGTTTGTTTCCAAGCAAATGGACGATGTTGATGGATATGTTATTATAATGGTAGAACCTAAAAAGGATCAGCTATAGATATAAGTTTGTGCCAAAATTGTGTTAAGTTGACGAAGTATTATTATTTATTATATATCTATTTATGTCATATTCAAACCATATTTATTCATCACTATTTCGATAACAGATACTACTATTTAGAAAATAAATTTAATTTTATACTGAGATGAGCTTATTTGTTACCAACTATACCTACGTCATGGAATACAATCATTTTTTCGGCAACCGCCCGGGAAGTACCCACTTCCCAGACGGTTTCCAGCTTTTTCTTTGAGACAGTAGCATTTTTCCAGCCTAGTCCGGGAAGTACGTCATTGTTGTCTCTGTAACTATGAAAATCTTTGTGAATATGGTTTTGATAAATGCAAATAATAATTACCATAGCAGCGAAATATCGGCTGACAGGTATTTGATATGTAATTAGTTCAAATTTTGATTATAGAAACTATCGAAAGCAGCTGCGATTGTGAGTTTGAAAATGTCCATATGAAATTTCCAATGTAACAGTTTATAGGTATTCTGTTCAAATTATTTGATACAAATGAGAATTAATAAAGAAGACATCGTATTCTAAAAAGAAATATAATATGGAAATGTGTCTCGTTGATTATTATGTTATTCTACATGGTTGCCGAAAAAATAGTGTTAACGCCCCACGTTAACTGTAGGTTAAGTTAGCAGCATGAATATTTTAATATTTTTTTTTCTCATAAATTAGCTCTTCATGATTTTCGTCATATTATTACTAGGGATTAATATTTGCTATGGAATTAAATATTCACTATCACTCTGTATATTGATTTCTATATTTTCCTTCTTCTAATTTGAAGGCGTTTTTGTCTCATATTTTTTGTGACTGTCAAAGCTGGTTTGGAGACGGACATGCCGCGAACAGAAAATAGTCGCATTGATATATTCAGCGAAATACGCGTGCTTTCTGTATCCATTACATTCACTGTGTATGAGTGACTCTTTATCGAACAAATGCAGAGCAAATTTAGTGTACAACACAGCCAGCCCTTCATACAGTCCACAAACTCGGATCAGGGAAAATTCCAGGTGAGTCCATCTCTATTCGACCTTTTTTGACAAGTCTTGAACCGGTCAAATTTTAAATCTATATAAACCACACCTTATTCAAAACGTAACAAATAGTGTACGCAATACGTCCAAAAACAGTTTTTTTGGACTCACAGGCTCGCCTACGGCTTGACGTAAAATTTTTTCTACTCGTCTAAAAAAACAGTTTTTTCTGGACTTGTTACGTAAATACAGTGATATTGGATGTCGTGGACAAATAATATGACTCAAATAAGATTTTCCACAAAATGAATGGGCCTTGCATGCGATTCGACAATCAAAACACTTCTATATTGCACTACACATTGTTATTATCGTGCCAAAGGTTCCAGTGTTCGATATACTTCTATATTAGTTATGTCCCCCATAAGCGCCAAAGGAGCATAAATCTTATGAAGTTTTGTGTTATTCGATCAGTATTTTCTGCAATGAAAACTACGGAGGACGAATTTGGTTAGGGACTGGGTCTCTGAATATTCTCGAAATATTCTTCAGGTTGCTCTGATAGAGTTCTCAGAATATTATTCAAGTAACATTCTATGAATATACTGAACAAACTGTTTCTTGACTATTATGAGAATATTCCAGGTAGGAAGATTATTAAAGATAAGGAAGGAAATTGAAGAAAACTTGCTCCGGTGAGGATTCGAACACTCTCTTGTTGTGCTTATATGATTACAAACCTGACACCTGTACCACTGCGCTACGAACCTTCTTGATAATTTATCAATGATAAGATGTTGACACGTCATTGGTAGGATAATACCTACGCAGACAGTCCTTAATAAATAGGTTGGGTTAGGCATAGATTAAGGGGAACACTTTCTATATTTAATACAAGAATAACTGCAATATCATAATTTGGTAGCATATTGCGTTTTATTCTTACAATATTCGACAAAATATTCTGAGAATATGTCGAATCGAATGTTCAAAGAATATTATTAGTTGCAGGATTAAAATATTTAATGTTCATTAATTGTGAGGACATATTATATCAGAAATCTTCTGAGATAGAAGAAAATAATAAATTTTGAACCTTGTCGGGAAGGTCATAGGAATGTATCTTCAGAATATCATCAGAATATTCGCGAGGAATAATATAGTCCATGAATGTTCACAATATTCTGAAAATATAACTTCTTGAACATTCTGGATTATCAATTATATCTCAGAGAAGCTTCTAGGAATGTATATAGGTACTTTCAAAATATACTAGCTGTACCCTGAGCGGTTGCTACGCTACTTACTAAAATAAATTTGAAAGAAAGACAGTGCAAAAATATTGAATTCATTTCGAGTCATTTTGAAAATATTTTCTACTTCTGTTCAGTTTGGTTAACCATAAAAGCGTTATTTTTTAGTTCCTCAAACTACTACTACCTACTAATACTAGTACTACTTCTTTTTGTTCGGAGGGGGAGTTATCTCTATGCCTATCGTCGAGGGTTTGTCCCTCCTATTTCCTGATGTAGGTATTATAACATTCATAGATTAAACAGACCATTTTAATCTTTAAAGAGGACAGGAGGCTGTGCTCATAGATGAAACACACCCTGTACTTCTTTCGAAGGTATATTTGACTGAGTCCTCTATCTGTTTTATCGTGAACTTCCACTACTCTGCTTCTATTTTCTTAGGCATGACTCCTGCATTCTAGATTTCTGTATTACAGCATCATAGGATAGTCACCGAATTATCACAGCAGATGTCGATGTAAGTAGTAAAGCAATGGTTGGGATAGCTCATAGACAGTGGCGTACCGATGGTATTTGCTCGGCGAAGGCAGGGGTCAGATATTATCTTTGTTTTCCTTCTGTGTATTATTTCCTCCATTTCACGTGTTTAATGATAAGTGCTTGATGTCTTTCCTGACTCGATTCACTTAGGGCCATCCAATCATCTATAGCAACATAATATACCTTAGCTGATGAGAGAAGAGTTGATTCCTCGTTAAGTTAACAGAGAGCTTTATGCAACCGGCCCTTAGACATCGAAAGCTCATCAGAATAGAAATCGAACGAAATCAAGAAAGAAGTAAACGGTCAATTAAATAAGCCCATCCCTGATTAAGTATGCTTCGATAATTGCTTGGCAATCAATTAACCTCATCATAACATATTGAGATAAATATTCTGGCAATATTATTCATGACATATTCATTCAGAAATCTCTGAAGTCCATGACTTTCAGCTTTCCTTCCTCCTTCAAATATTCATTCAGGATAAAAATCTGTTGAATATTTTGATTGATCACATGAGTTTGACAGGTAGGAATACTTTAAAAATGATTCAGGAATAATTCCTTAGAATAATTTATAACTATTCACAATGGTAAAACGTAGAACACATGCGTGAAACAAATTATGAAGGAAGGTGAGAAGATGGCGTCAACGTCAACACCAGTCAGGTTCAGGTCTTTTGGTTCAGTCAGACTTTGTTGCGTAGATACATTCTGAACTATTCGAGATCTTTGACTGTAGTGCAATGAAATCATGGCGGATACCATATCTATAAACTGATGACGAACTTCGATCTCGACTCGACTTCTAACAATAAGGTGTTCAGTGCGGGTCAGCGTGGCGGCGTGAAAGCAAGTATGGTTTTCATTTCATTTTCATTCGCTCGAAGGTGCTCGGATTATGGAAATCAAATCTCGAGTTGAAGACTAGTTCTTGAAAGTATGTGTGTTTATGGTGTTTCAGATAATATGTTATTGAATATTATTTACAGATGCGCAGTGAAAAGGAGACGAACAGGGTTACCAATTCGGAATCACCGAACTGGAGGAATGGAGGAATAACGAATGAAGATATCAAAATGCATTTTGTTTTGTGATATTCCACTACCCTCTCTAGGTTAACTTGAGCATCTTACTAATTAAATGCAAAAAGTATGTATCAAAGATGGTGCAACAAAACATTTTTCCGGCACACGGCACACAACAATTTCTATAGCAGGGCTACAGGGCAGTGTGCTAGGTCCCTTATTACTTATTCAATATGTAAACGATTTGGGTAATGTTTTGAAGTGTGCTTCTTTCAAATTGAGAAACTATGCAGATAGCACAAATATTTCGATTGCTGACAAGTGTTCTGGAGAATTAAGTCGAAAAACTGTATAGTAGAAAGATAGTAGTTAATTCTTAAGTCTCCATCTGGTTTCATGGAAACTGTACTAATAAACATCACTAAAACTAATTGCATTGTCTTCAGACACAGCAGAAACTCATAGATTTCTTCAGAAGAGATAAATTTGAATAATGCTACTACCTATTTGATAAGGCCACTCTGAGGAATTTCTTGACGTTACCATTGATAAATATCATGTGCTGTAGTATAATCTTTTGGGGTGGGTTCACACTTCACACAGTCAAGAAGTATCTGTCATTCGAGAATGGTCAGTTCACTCCAGCCACCTCAAAAACTTTAGAATCTTGTCGCAGCTATCTTTATCATTAATCTTTTGACATTGCCTGGTGCATATATCCTTGAATGCGTCAATTTTGTAAACAAAAAACAAACACATCAATGATTCCTTGCATAATCATTTTCACAATACATCCCCTGTTTGAGAAAGGTACCAATGAAGCAAGTATATACAGTATGATGCAAATGTATGGAATAAATTCATTATTTCAGAAATGGGCGACATTTGAGAAAATTCCAAAAACACGTGAGTTTTAATTTCTGAAGCCTCATCTCATGATATTCATATGAGAGATGTTACGTCACCGGTGTTGGAGTAAAGACGTAATGGACGATTTTTTCAAATACAAATAGGGGTCATGTGACACCTTGATTGAAAGGTCTACCGATCGTCTATACAACAGTCAAAACGTTGCATGAGAAGATTGAATTTAAAATGGATTATCATGTGATTAATTGAATCTTGCAGAGGTCTGCTACTGAGAATTGAACATCGAAGGGTCGTCTAGTTGAAAAAATACGTCGAAAAAAAAGTTCCAAACTCTAGTTTTTGGTTTTTTTCGTCTTGTTTTGAAATGAATTTATTCCATTCATTTGCATCATACTGTATATCCCTGTTTCACAATAGGGGAAGATAAGGAAATTCTACATAACAT